TCTGAGGTTAAATATCTAGGAGTGACCATTAACAAAAACCCTAAACTTAAATCAGTCTTAAACTTTGAAAATAAACTTAAAGAAGGAAATTCTAAACTTAACCTGTGGCTCCAACGTGACCTTTCTATTCTAGGTCGTATCTATCTCACCAAAATGGAACGTCTATCAAGATTAGTTTACCCAACCTGTAACCTTGCCTTACCAAACTACCTAATTAAAAAAATAAATCAAACAAACTTTAACTTTATTTGGAGAAACAAACCACACTACCTTAAAAAGGCTCATATGACTAAAGAAATAAAAGATGGAGGTTTAAAGGCCATTGACTTTGAATGTCTTAATGGCACCCTAAAGATTAACTGGTTAAAATTTTGGTTAAATCACCCAGACGTCTTTTGGTATAGTATCCCCAATTACATCTTTAACAAAATTGGTGGCTTAAAAATTCTTTTCCTAACTGACTACAATATAAACAAACTCCCCATTAAACTTTCAGAGTTCCATAAACAAATTTTATTGTATTGGAAAATGATATATGTGCATAACTACTCACCACACTCTATAATCATTTGGAACAATCAATTTATATTGCACCAAAACAAATCATTATTCTATAAAGATTGGTTAGATAACAATATTATACACTTAATGGATGTAGATGGTCAGCTCTTGAATTATGATAATTTCTGCAGAAGATACAATTTTAAAGCTTCTGAGCTTGACTTTAACAGGTTACATAATGCACTTCCAAAACAGTTTATCATCCAAGCCCGAGAATATCTAAAACATCAATGTTCTATTCCAATCCTTCCTATCTTATCTATTAAAGGTCTTCTGTTAACTGACAGAAAATGCAACAATCTTACAATAAGATCAGCCTTAAATGAATCTCTTTTTCCTGGAAAAACAAACAAAAATAACATAATTTACAAATTTGATAAAATATCTGTTGAGAAAATAAGAACTATCTACCTAAAATTACCTATACCACCGAAAGCTAAAGAAACCCACTTTAAAATAATGAATGCAATCTATCCTTCAAAAGAGTTGTTAAGAGCTCGTTTTAATATTGATAGCAACAACTGCTCTTTTTGCGAAAATCACATAGAAACTATAGATCATATATTTTATGAATGTCAGAAAACACAATTGTTCTGGAAAAAGCTAGAGATGTGAATCAGAACTAAAATACCACTCCCAGTTCACGTCACTAAAGATATGATAATATTTGGGATTCTATTCAATAATAAAGATAAAGAACTCTGCTATAATATCATCCTCTGTTTAGCCAAATTTTTTATCCATAAACAACGAATTTTGCAATCATCCCCAGTCTTCAATGTTTTTTAATAGAATTTCAATTATATTTAAAATCCCTGAAACAACTCAACAAATATAGTGAAAATCTATATAACATGTTAGCTGAACTTCCAAAGTGATTTCCTAATTCTATATGATATATGCTGTACCCTCATTGAAAGCTGTACGTGTTCTTCATGTTCTTTTGTCTCTTGTTGTTCTCTTTTACTGGATACTTACAAATGTTATATTAACTGCTCCTTTTGAATTTAAGTTTTGAACTTAACATTGTCAAGGTGCCATGTTTGTTTGTAAATTTACTAAAAAAATAAAAAAAAATAAAATAAAATAAAAATAGTTCAGCTGCTAGCCAAAACTCTGGAGTTAAAAGTTTTCTGGCTTTACTAAAATACCTGTCTGTACTTATTTGATTGATGGTATTTTTACTTTCTATTAGACTCCAAATGTAATCATTTGGCACGTTTCTAATTCATAATTTGCAATAATGTAATCGGCGATATTAGCATTAGCATTCCTATGGGTTTTTCCATGTATATTAGCATTGCGCTAACCACTCGCTGCCAAATTGCAGCCTTTGAGATTAGAAAATCTCCTGGCTTTACTAAAATTCCTGTCTGTACTTATTTGATTGATGGTATTTTTACTTTCTGTTAGACTCCAAATGTAATCATTTGGCACGTTTCTAATTCATAATTTGCAATAATGTAATCGGCAATATTAGCATTAGCATTCCTATGGGTTTTTCCATGTATATTAGCATTGCGCTAACCACTCGCTGCCAAATTGCAGCCTTTGAGATTAGAAAATCTCCTTTTGTCACATCGCAATTTAATTGCACATGCAGTTAATCGTTCAACCCTAATATACATGCAGCTCTATGCTAAAAGTGTATTTTCAAAGAGGTAACGATGGATTTCTTTGTAAAAGTTGTCCATCTTTCCAATAGAAAGATTTGCCTGGACCAACGTAACGTGATAACAACGTAACGTGATTACGTAATTCTGTAAGGTTCATGTTCAGCCAATCAACTACTTAGACGTCATCGGCAGTCCACGGACCCCGAGCCAATTTTGCACCCGACCAGATCTTGTACCGACACCGGCACACGGACCTATAACCTATCGTCTGTCATCTGCCACACGAATCTTTCCTGTAAGAGTGCACACTTGGGTTAAGTATGGGAGGTTCTCTTTCTTAACATTCGTTTCGATGTCTCACTATGGGATACGCCCCTCCGCGGATTCCTCAGAAGCACTTATCTCAATACGCCAATCCTGATTGGCCAGTGACCGTGACGTAAGCGTCCCCCTGCTACTATAAGTAGCAAGCGTCCCAACGTATGCACTATTCAATCACCTCTTCTCGCTTCGGTGGTCGCTTATCTCTGAGGTAAGTTAGCTCAACTGTTCACAGACGGAGCCTTCTAATATTCTCTCCGTCGCCGAACGTTAACTTACCGTCCTTCTGTCCTGACCTTCACCATAGGCTCGGGGCATAACGAGCAGCTTCACACTCCAGTGCATCTGTTCGTTCTATGCTAACGCACCAGTTAGCCAACATGGAAGCCGCTCCTCCCACCAGAGGAGTCGACGGCGCAGGAGCTCGCCTCTGTACCTGTGGGAACAAAATCTCAAGCAAAGACCCGCACAGGGTCTGCTCGAGCTGCCTCGGGCTGGAACACGCCCAGCTGGCATTGGAAGTCCCCGGGTCATGTGAGAGCTGCGCTTGCTTCACCCTGAAGAGCCTTCGCCGGCGGCTAGCACGCCAAGCTAGCCTGTTGGGGAAGGACCCTTGCCTGCCGGCCCCTGGGCCACCGCCTGGGGACGCCAGCGAACATGTCCTCCCGGAGCCGGAACCGTGTGCCGAACTCAGCTGGGGCTCACAGCTCGAACTGGCCGGTCCGAGCCACCCCGCCGAGGACGTGTTGGAGTTGGACTACGGAGACGACGAGGACACCTCGGAACTCCTCATTTCAGAGGAGGACAAGGAGGACGGCGTCTTTCTCCCCATCGCTCAGGCCTCCATGCCTAGCTTTCCGTCCTCTCCCAGGGATGAAGCGGCTTTTCCGGCCGCCCACCTGGACATGCAGTCAGTCTGCCGACGCGCTGCGACCAGGCTCAACATCCCTTGGCCCACCGTGGTCACTGAGGCTGTCAGATCCCGCTACGAGGGAAAGAAGCTGCCTCAGGCCACGAGGGCGGCAAAGCCCCTCCTTCCCGCCTTCCCGGAGCTACTCCAAGAAGTGAGGTCCTCCTGGGACAAACACCCGTTCAGCTCCAGGTCTCCTGTCCAAGGAGCCTCCTCGCTGGACTTCGAAGGGATGGAGAAAGCTGGCATGCTTCGCATGCCGCCGATGGAACCGCTGGTTGCAGCCCACCTACACCCACGGCTCTCGGCGACTTCCTCCAGGCCTCCCGCTCTCCCTGCGAAGGCGGACCGCTTCCAGTCGGCGCTGAACGAGAGGGCGTACAAGGCTGCCGCCATCTCGGTCCGAGCTTTGAATGTCTCCTCCATGCTCTCGGCGTACCAAGCCGAGCTCTGTGAGGAAATGAATACGAAGCCGGACCCGGAGGTGTGGGAGGAAATCACCGTACTGACCGACATCTGCCTGCGTGTGCAGCGCTGCGCGGTCCATGCTACGGCTAAAGCTATGGGCATGATGGTGCTTCAAGAACGTGCACGATGGCTGAACCTCACCAACCTCTCTGATAGAGAGAAGGAGGACATTTTGGACATGCCAATCGTGCCTGAAGGCATTTTTGGCTCTGCCCTGGCATCAATGCAGCAACGGTGTGCAGCCAAAAAGAAAGAGGATGAAGCCCTTCATCTCTGCCTTCCCCGTAAACCCTCACCGGCGCTGCCGGCTCGGCCGAACCTGCCTCAGGCAGCTGCCCGAGCCCAGCCTCAGTTCCGGATCCCAAAGCGCCCGAAGCCGCAAGCTGTCCAACCAGCTCCTTTGGGCTCAGAGCCTCGACCAGTTTGGCCTCATGGATCCGGCAACCAAGCTGCTCCGCCGCCGGGACAATCCACCAGACACGGCGGTCAGCAGGTGAGGAGGAAGAAGTGGGCAGCCTGTCGGAGTTCTTCCCTCGCTGCAGCTGGCGGTTCCCCATTCGCCAGCTCCTCCTGTTCGATGTTGCCATGGTGCTTTCTCTATAGTAGCAGGGGGACGCGTACGTCATGGTCACTGGCCAATCAGGATTGGCGTATTGAGATAAGTGCTTCTGAGGAATCCGCGGAGGGGCGTATCCCATAGTGAGACATCTCACTCATGTTACTCAGAGAACCGGGGTTACGACAGTAACCTAAAGGTTTCAACATGGCACAAAACTCTTCTCATACCCCCCCAGCATGTTTACATACACGAAGAGAAACAGAGTCAATAAGTCTGTTAGCATTAGCATACGATGGGGAATAATATCAGCCATCAGCCTCCTTCTTGCTTTGAGTGCAGGAACTCATTAAGCAGAATTTAATTATGTTTCAAGTAGAACATGTAAATTGCTATGCAAATTCTCCAACTCAGCCTTTGTCTTTTGGTGAGCGTTGATTTCTTTCTTAAGTTTGTTTTCAAGATGTTCTGCCTTTTCTTTGGCAGAAAGAACCTCAGTTTTGTAAGTTTGATTTAATTCATCAAATAAAACTTTCCTTTCTAGCAAGAAATCTTGACATAATTTTTTCTCTGTTTGTTTAAACCGCTTCTCCTGAAAAACAAACTGGTGGGCCATCTCACTGTCTAAATTCTCCAACTCAGCCTTTGTCTTTTGGTGAGTGTCGATTTCTTTCTGAAGTTGTTCCTCAAATCATTTGGCCTGTTTTTCAGAAGAAAGATTTACAGATTTGCATTTCATTTTCATGTCTTCATGGGAAGTCATCACTTCTTCAAGTTTTTTCCGTAATTCTGTTTCAGTCTTTTGCTGTACTATAAAACGTTTCTCCATCTCTGTTCTCTCCTATTGAATCTGACATTTTGTCCCTTGGTGAGCATCAATTTCCTTAAACCCGTTTTCTTGAAAAACAAACTGGTGAGCCGTCTCTCTGTTTAAATTCTCCAACTCAGCCTTTGTCTTTTGGTGAGCATCAATTTCCTTTTTAAGTTGTTCCTCCAGATGTGCAGCCTGTTGTCTAGCAGCAAGAATGTCCGTTTCAGATTGATTGAGTTCCTGTAATAAAACGTTCTTTTCTTGCAAGAAATCTTCACACAATTTTTCCTCTCTTTGTTTATGCCGGTTTTCCTGAAGAACAAACTGGTGGGTCGTCTCTCTGTTTAAATTCTCCAACTCAGCCTTTGTCTTTTGGTGAGCGTGGATTTCTTTCTGAAGCTGTTCATTAAAATCTTTGGCCTGTTTTTCAGAAGAAAGTTTTAAAGATTTGCATTTCATTTTCATGTCTTCTTGGGAAGTCATCACTACTTCAAGTTTATTTCGTAATTCTGTTTCGGTCTTTTGCTGTACTATAAAACGTTTCTCCATCTCTGTTCTCTCCTCTTGAATCTGACATTTTGTCCTTTGGTGAGCATCAATTTCCTTTTTAAGTTGTTCCTCCAGATGTGCAGCCTGTTGTCTAGCAGCAAGAATGTCCAGTTCAGATTGATTGAGTTCCTGTAATAAAACGTTCTTTTCTTGCAAGAAATCTTCACACAATTTTTCCTCTCTTTGTTTATGCCGGTTTTCCTGAAGAACAAACTGGTGGGTCGTCTCTCTGTTTAAATTCTCCAACTCAGCCTTTGTCTTTTGGTGAGCGTGGATTTCTTTCTGAAGCTGTTCATTAAAATCTTTGGCCTGTTTTTCAGAAGAAAGTTTTAAAGATTTGCATTTCATTTTCATGTCTTCTTGGGAAGTCATCACTACTTCAAGTTTATTTCGTAATTCTGTTTCGGTCTTTTGCTGTACTATAAAACGTTTCTCCATCTCTGTTCTCTCCTCTTGAATCTGACATTTTGTCCTTTGGTGAGCATCAATTTCCTTTTTAAGTTGTTCCTCCAGATGTGCAGCCTGTTGTCTAGCAGCAAGAATGTCCAGTTCAGATTGATTGAGTTCCTGTAATAAAACGTTCTTTTCTTGCAAGAAATCTTCACACAATTTTTTCTCTCTTTGTTTATGCCGGTTTTCCTGAAGAACAAACTGGTGGGCCGTCTCTCTGTTTAAATTCTCCAACTCAGCCTTTGTCTTTTGGTGAGCGTGGATTTCTTTCTGAAGCTGTTCGTTAAAATCTTTGGCCCGTTTTTCAGAAGAAAGTTTTAAAGATTTGCATTTCATTTTCATGTCTCCTTGGGAAGTCATCACTACTTCAAGTTTATTTCGTAATTCTGTTTCAGTCTTTTGCTGTACTATAAAACGTTTCTCCATCTCTGTTCTCTCCTCTTGAATCTGACATTTTGTCTTTTGGTGAGCATCAATTTCCTTTTTAAGTTGTGCCTCCAGATGTGCAGCCTGTTGTCTAGCAGCAAGAATGTCCGTTTCAGATCTTTGAACGAGTTCCTCTAATAAAACGTTCCTTTCTTGCAAGAAATCTTCACGCAATTTTTTCTCTTTTTGTTTAAACCGCTTCTTCCGAGGAGCAAGCTGGTGGGTCGTCTCACTGTCTAAATTCTCCAACTCAGCCTTTGTCTTTTGGTGAGCGTGGATTTCTTTCTGAAGCTGTTCGATAAAATCTTTGGCCTGTTTTTCAGAAGAAAGATTCATAGATTTGTATTTCATTTTCATGTCTTCATGGGAAGTCATCACTTCAAGTTTTTTTCGTAATTCTGTTTCGGTCTTTTGCTGTACTATAAAACGTTTCTCCATCTCTGTTCTCTCCTCTTGAATCTGACATTTTGTCTTTTGGTGAGCATCAATTTCCTTTTTAAGTTGTTCCTCCAGATGTGCAGCCTGTTGTCTAGCAGCAAGAATGTCCGTTTCAGATTGATTGAGTTCCTGTAATAAAACGTTCCTTTCTTGCAAGAAATCTTCACACAATTTTTTCTCTTCTTGTTTAAACTGCTTCTCCTGAAGAGCAAGCTGGTGGGCCATCTCACTGTCTAAATTCTCCAACTCAGCCTTTGTCTTTTGGTGAGCGTCGATTTCTTTTTGAAGTTCGTTTTCAAGATGTTCTGCCTTTTCTTTGGCAGAAAGAACCTCACTTTCGTGAGTTTGCTTTAATTCATCCAATAAAATGTTCCTTTCTAGCAAGAAACCTTCACGCAATTTTTTCTCTTTTTGTTTAAACCGCTTCTTCCGAAGAGCAAGCTGGTGGGCCATCTCACTGTTTAAATTCTCCAACTCAGCCTTTGTCCTTTGGTGAGCGTCAATTTCTTTCTGAAGTTGCTCCTCAAAACATTTGGCCTGTTTTTCAGAAGAAAGATTCATAGATTTGCATTTCATTTTCATGTCTTTAAGGGAAGTCATCACTTCAAGTTTTTTTCGTAATTCTGTTTCGGTCTTTTGCTGTACTATAAAACGTTTCTCCATCTCTGTTCTCTCCTCTTGAATCTGACATTTTGTCTTTTGGTGAGCATCAATTTCCTTTTTAAGTTGTGCCTCCAGATGTGCAGCCTGTTGTCTAGCAGCAAGAATGTCCGTTTCAGATCTTTGAACGAGTTCCTCTAATAAAACGTTCCTTTCTTGCAAGAAATCACGTAGTTTTTGCTCTGTTTGTTTAGACCGGTTTTCCTGAAGAACAAACTGGTGGGCCGTCTCACTGCGAAAATTGTCCAATTTTTTCTCTGTTTCTTTAACCTGTTTTTCTGGTAGAATTAACCGGTGAGTTACCTGACTCCTTAAATCTTCCAATTCAGTCTTTGTGTTTTGGTGTGCTTGAATCTCTTCTTGCAATAGTTTCTCAGAATGTTCAGCGTTTTTTTTGGCAACATGAATTTCATCTTCAAACTTGCTTTTAAGGTCTTGTTGTGAAGTCGTCAATTGTTCAACGAGATCTTTTGAAACCAGCGAATGATACAGATCTGCTTTCAGATTGTTGATATGCTTTTCGTCGTTCCCTACCTTTAGTAAATCTTTAACGGCGTTCAGATGTTCGGCTTTCAAATCTTCCATCTGTCGTGTTTTATGTAAAAACTGCCCACATTGTAATCTCAAATTATAAAGAAAGGCTCCCATTTCTGCTGGCTGTTTGTTAAAATCCTGAACTAAATATGTTCCTATGTTTTGTGTTATTTTGAGTCCCTGATGCAAAACTTGGAAATTGATGTTAAAATAATTCCTTCGCTAGTTGTTTTTATACTAATTTAAAAGAATAAATAGAATAAAAGGTGATTAGATTTTCTATGCAGATCTTGTCACGCACTACTGCTTTGTAAGGTTCCTCTGAGAGTAATGAACTGTGTGCTGATCTCTTTATAGAGTTCCAAATCCTTTATGACGTCATCACGTGTTGCTGCTTTGTAGTCGTTGCTGCCAGAGGTAGTCGTTGATGCCAGAGGTGGAAAGTAACGAATTACATTTACTCACGTTACTGTAATTGAGTAGCTTTTTTGTATATTTATACTTTTTGTCGTTTTTTAAATCTGTACTTTTACTTTTACTTAAGTACGTTTTTAAAAAAGAATTGTAATTAGCTACATTTTAAATCTTTTCCGTTACTGAGTAAAAATAGGCTTAATAAATTAAAAATATTACGTGTAGCAGCGTCGGAACAGGAAGAGACCCCTGCATGAGCACCGCGAGGGTTTAGACGCGGTGCTAATTAGGACAAATAATTGGGACAGTTTTGCTCAAAAACATCAGTTCAGTCCCTCTGATCCACTCGCTGTTCACCTCCTCTCCCTCCTCTCCTGTGGGTTGGATCCCGCACCTTCACGCACCGGTGTGACTTCATCAGAATTCTGCTCGGTTCGGTAGCCAGACTCGGTTCCGTGTTTGAAATGTGTTTCCCTACCGCTCCGCACGGAAGCGGCAAAATAACGTTTAGCGCTCATAACAAGCGGATTATCAGCGCTTTGCTCATAAAACAGAAGACCTGCAGGCCTCCGTGAGTTAAACCATCCTGATATTGTTCCGTTGTAAACATTGTGCTCCATCCGTGTGTTTGAACTCAGATGCTCCTTGATGCCACAGATATGTGATGATTTAGCTTGTTTCTTTATTTTACTCCAGAATAAGAGATTAAATTATTACAAAAGCAGTTCAGTGTAGTTAAATTAGTCATTCACATGATTCTAACATGCTGCAGTGTGTGTGTGTGTGTGTGTGTGTGTGTGTGTGTGTGTGTGTGTGTGTGTGTGTGTGTGTGTGTGTGTGTGTGTGTGTCAAGGGTCAAGGTAACTTTATTACTGAAGGTAAATTTGATTTGCCATGTGACATGGGAATTAGCGCCCAGTTACACACACACTCACAAAATATACACACATCCATAAAAATATAAAAAGTATAAAAACAATACATGAATAAATAGAGATAAAATCAAGTAAAATAGCCACGCCAGACTCATTTCTTATTGAGAATTGTTACAGCCTCAGGAATAAAGCTCCTTTTATACCTCTTGGTCCTGCACTTAGGCACAATAAATCTCCGTCCTGATGGCAGGAGGGCAAACTGGGCATGCAGTGGGTGGCCCGTGTCCCTAACAATAGCGTTGGCAATTCTGTCTACCTGCCCACTGTACAGTTGTGCCACACTTTTCACTTGTTTTCCAAGCAGGCGACCCGACCACTTTACTATCCTGTTCAGCGTTTACTTTTGTTTAAGATTTGCCTGGCTAAACCATGAGGCTAAGGAAAAGGATAAAACACTTTCAATAAAAGAACAATAAAACATGGACATTATAGTCCGGTCCACATGGAATGAGGCCAGTTTTCTGAGGCAGTACAAATGCTGCTGGCCTTTCTTACCCACAGCATCACAGTTTTCCTCAAAATTCAGTTCCCTATCAATAATTGTCCCCAGATATTTATATGATTTCACCTGCTCAATAGTTCAACCTCTGTTTATGGAAAGATCATGCTGTTGTTGAGGCTTCCTTCTAAAATCAATGATCATATCTTTTGTTTTAATTACATTAAGTTGTAGATATGATTCATCACACCAAGAGATAAAATCGTCAAGAACAGGTCCATGGCTGTATTCCCCTTCTCTCAGGAGACTTACAACTACAGAATCATCAGCATATTTAATAACTGTCCTTCTCTCATGTTTGCTTTTGCACATGTTAGTGTACAAAATATACAACAACGGGGACAAAACACAGCCCTGAGGAGATCCGGTAGACACAGTTCTTGTATCCATCAGGGTACTATTCACTCTGACCTTTTGTGTTCTGTTGATCATAAAATCTAGCATCCACCCAAGCATGCTTTTACTCAGGTGAAACTGTTCCTCTAGCCCCGTGGTACTCAACCTTTTTTCACTGATGTACCCCCGTGTAAATATTTTTTTCAGCCAAGTACCCCTAATCAGCGCAAAAACATTTTTGGTTGTGAAAAACAAGACCTTAAATAGGTGCCTTCAGTGACTGATTTATTAAACTTTGAAACTGATAAACAAGTACAAAATTCAACCATTTGGGAAAAAAAAAACTATTTTGAATATTTTAAAAGTTAATACTCCATAACTAAATGTATTGGAAATATTTTTCATCACTAAAATGTGATTCTAATCAATTAATTGAAAACAGTCACCATAAAACTATTTAAAACCATAAGATTACCCATTGAAAAATCCATAAATGTGCAAAACACTGCACATTTTTTGTAGTATCTCTTGAACTATTTGGAAAAAATATATATATAACTAGAAATATATTTTAAAAAATCAAATACAGGCCAAAGAAGTGATTAAGCTAATTATAATTAAAGATTTGTGCTCATAAAAAGCATATCAACATAAAGTGTTCTCTTTTGGGATCATAGTATATCTGTTCTCTAAAAGAAATCATCAACGTCATTTTAAATAGCAATTGCTAAAAACAAATGTAAATCTCAAAATATATTTTTTTAAATCAAAAAGAAGACTGAAATCTTAACATTACTGCACTGATCGGAGTGTTTTTACAGACTTTTTAGTGAGACACTTGGGCGTGTGCTTCACTGAGGATCTTTTTCATCCTTGGTGGCAGGGAGGCAACTGCTGTGATCAAGCTCTTTTTTAGACACAGTCTGCTTCTCTGACGTACCCCCTGGAGTTTCTTTACGTACCCCCAGGGGTACGCGTACCCCCATTTGAGAAAGGCTGCTCTAGCCTATTAACCAAAACATGAGGCTGGATTGTATTGAAAGCGGACGAAAGTCCACAAAGAGGAGTCGAGCATGAGTTCCTACTAGGTCCAGATGATGAAAAAGCATATCTAACAGAGTGACCGTTGCATCCTCCACACCCCTCCCAGCCTGATATGCAAACTGTAGAGGATCCAGCAGTCGCTGTGTCTGCTTTAAAAGCTCGCATCTAACCAGCTTTTCAAAGATTTTCATTAAAATTGAAGTTAGAGCAACAGGGCGGAAATCATTTAAAATACCTGGATATCTCACCTTAGGAATCGGTACGATTTCTGCATCCTTCCATATTTTAGGGACCTTTTGTAACCGTAAGGATTCATTAAAAATGTGGTGCAGTATAGGTGTCAGCTGGAATGCACAGAATTTAAGTAAGCGGCCACAAATGTCATCTGGTCCTCGGCTCTTGTTCACTCTGACTGTTCTGATAGCCCTACCTATGTCCTCCATGTCAACTTTAAAATGCTCACTATCCTTACATTTCTCCCTCAGGATCTCCCGTTCCCCGCTAAAATCCAGAACGTCAAACCGACAATAAAAACTGTTCAGGGCATTAGCTAGCTCCCGGTCAGTGTTAAAAGGGTCTAGACAGATGGTTGTGTACTGTGCCTCAGAGCCATGTCCTGCAATAATTTTCATGCTAGTCCATGCCGAACCAAGTTTATTTGCTGCCATTTTGTCCTCCAACTGTCTCCTATATTCATGTTTAGCCTTTGTAATTTATCTTTTTAACAGTATGTTAGCCCTCTGTAACTCAGCCACTGACCCCTGTTTAAAAGCCTAATTTTTCTCCTTTATACACAATCTTACTGCTTTTGTGACCCATGGTTTGTTGTTTGGATATATCCTGACACATCTATGGGGTATTATCATATCCCGACAAAAGGCCATATATGAGCAGGTTACATCAACCAACATGTCAAAATCATTTCCACATGACTGAACAAAGACGTCCCACTCTGTACAGTCAAAACATTCCTGCAGGTTAAACACCGCCTCCTCAGACCAGGTGCTCACGTCCCTGGTCTTTACTTTCTCTCTTTTAAACATAGTCTTGTAGTTTGGCAAGAGATGCACACAGTTATGATCTGAAGATCCCAGAGGTGGAAGAGAGAAAGATTTATAAGCATTCTCTATAGACCCGTAGCCATAGGCGTCATTTTAACCGGGGACGCCGGGGACATGTCCCTGGCAAAATTTGTGATTGGCAGCTGTGTCCCCCTCCAATTTCCAAAATCCTGCTGATGAGTTTTTTTTTTTTTTTTTTTTTTTTTACCAGCTCAGATCTATACCTACGTCTGCTCCCAGCAGATTTTTTAAATGTCGCAACTGGCATCTAATTATTTATACTTGAGCTTTAAATAAAAATAAAACCGTAATTAATTAATTTGTAACATTTCTGAAAAAGCGCCCTGCGTTATGCTGAGTTCTCTACCCTGCTGCCCTGCATGCAGCTGTCAGCAGTTGTGATAAGCAGGAGAGCACGTCACCCACACTGCTCAAGAATCTTTTATTCTTGTTTAGCTCCAAGAGGTAAGCAATGTTATATTTTATTTAACACCAAAAGAAGGTGATATTTGAATGCGATTAATGCAGGGGTCCTTCAGGCGTGCTTACCGCCACCCCAGCTGTTAGCATGTAGCTGGTGGAGGTGAGTACACGTGAGCAGAATTATATGTTGTTAAGTCGATTTTAAGTTGAGTTAAGTAGCTTTTGTGACTTGTTTTTGACATGCGAGGGCTCTTGGGAGTGTTCTGTGCGAAGTTTAGCTGTAGCTTTAAAAAGAAAAGCAAGTTATATGGGTGATAATGCTTCGATTAGAGTGTTGCTAATAGAAGCTAACTTCTCGTGAGTGAGTGTTACGTTACTTCGCTGTCTTTTTAACCTGAACAGAGTGTGATGCTAGATAACATACATTAGCCACGTTTACATGCGCAAAATCTCCTCTATCCGATGAAAATCTAGGCTGTTCGGAAATCCCAAATGTTTACATGGACACTATTTTATGCACCAAGCATCAAATCCGAATAAATAGTTTGAGCATGCGCAGAGAGTTGTCTTTCCCGGAAAAGATGGTAAACAAATGCCATGAAACGAAATGAAAAGTGTAATGTGCAGAATTTTTGATCTGACTGGGTGTTCAATCCATTTACTTGTGCCCATTTAAACGTGGCTAGTGATGGAAATTGTGTGTTTTGTTATACCAGGAAAACTCATGTATGAATGTTATAGAAGAAAAATGTATTTGTGTTACAAGTGTTGTTAGCAACTTTTGGTTATCCACTTATAATCTGTTTTTTTTATGTAAAATGTGGAAAAAAAACCTTGAATAGTAATAATAACCACTAAATCACGCTGTACAGTAACATGTAAGTTGGTGGGGACCCCTGTGTGAGGCTGGATAACACACATTGATGGAAATTGTGTGTGTTCTGTTGGACCAGATTGCTGCCAATAAATGCAAGTTGAAGAATAATCTGGTGCCATAATCTGCTTTTTGGTGAATGTGGAGCACAAGAGTGATGACACAAATTGTCCAGACCACATCTACTGAACAGGTCAGAAGGTGATCCGTTACATTAGCTGTTCTCCCTTTATTTTGTTTGGATGCCTTGATGAGTCTTTTGAAGCTTAAAATAATATGAAGGATTCTTTAGTCAAAGATGGAGCAGTTAACTGTTTTATTAACAGAACAAAAATGAAAAAGGAAATAACCATTAAGTTTGAATGCACACAAATACAGATTGTGAACACACTGAGAACAGTAGAACGATTAAATGTAGCTAAAAAAAATTGGTGAACCAAAATTAAATGCAAATTGAACTTGATGTTAGAACGGTAATCTTAATAACCAGGGTGAGTGTGTTTGAGACCGTAAACAAGTGGATTGTGTATGTTTTATGTGTTTTTCCAATCAGGTGGAGAGTTAATAGTGGCCAAAGATTTACACCCGTCTCTCAGATGTACCAATGAAAGCTGTGGCTATTTCTCTTTTGTCTAGCCTCTTCAGTC